CAAGTGGACAGGATCAAGAAGATCCTTTTATGGCATGCTAAGGAGCTAGATTTTATCCTAAAGGTAATAGGGAGCCATTGAACCATTGAAGGATTTAAAGCATGAAGCAAATTGGTTGTAAAAGCTCTTTCTGGGAGCCTAGAAAAGACTAGAAAAATATGTACTGGAGGAAGTAAGACCAGAAGGGGCTGGTGCAGTAATCCAAGCTAAACATAATGAGAAACTAGGATATGGTGACTAAATCCATGTGAATGAAAAGGAGAAATCTAGGTTTCTAATTTGAGTATCTCAGCATGTGAGAACTTCAGTCTGAGACATGTGAAGTTTGCACTGCCTATGCAGCAGCCAATTGCAGATAACTTTCAGACACCTATGGGACTCAGGAGAGATTTGCTGTGTTTACAAGATTTGCTGAAAACTAACAATTACCAAGCCATTTTGAAGAAAATTTGGGATCTGGGTTCAGAGTATGAATTTGGAAGCCATTAGCATAAACACTGGTTGAACCCATGGGAATAGAGGAGTGTAAAGGAAAAACAAGGGCAAAGTGTAGAAGACATTAAGGGATGCTTTTTTTTTTAAGAGTGAACTGAGGGAAGAGCTTGGGAAGGATATTGCTGTGAAGGATATTGCTCTGGTCCTTGACTACAGCAGTCTCCTACTTCATTCTCCAGTCTTCCGTGCACATTTTACCTGCCTAATGAAGATACCTTCCTGAAAGACCAATCAAGTCCAAGTCATGTGGCTTAACAGCTCAGAAATCCTAGTTGGCTCTACATTTGCCTATAAAATCTAAAAGTTTTTATCTAGACCCCACCTCTCCCTGAAAGACTGAAAAGAAGTTCTGACCTACTTTTTCTCATCTTCCAAACCACCCTCCTAAGTTTGCTGCCTTGCAGACACACCACTCCAGCCCTCGTTCACCTTGTTCTCTCAAGTTATCTAGTTTTTATGCTTCTCAATCAGAATTTCAGTTTATCCCTTAAGATCTAGTTAAGTGCTCCCTCTCAGAAGCCTCCAGTTACAGCTCAAGGCTTCTATTCCTTTATTTCCACACATTTTTCCTTTGTACCTTTATCATAATGTGTATCTCCCTCTCCTTTTTGTTGTATCCAAGCCTTTTCCCCGTTGATTATAAACTCTCAGAGCCTACTCAGCTTAGTGCCCTCCGGGTGTCTAGCACAATACCTTGCCCATAGAGTGGTGTTCCATAAGTATTTGTTGTTGTGTATAATTGGCACAATCAGTATCCAAAACTATAAATCACTAATCAAGATGAAGGCCTTGACTTTTTGTTTGAATATACTTCTAAAAACTTCATCTTAATGGAGAGGAATAGTTTGTCCTTTGGGAAAAGCATTATAACTGGAGAATTTAGCATCCAGTTCAACTCACATAATCGGTAATAAATTCTAAAATCAAAGAATCAATACCAAACTTATATGAATATTTAAAATCACAAAATTGTGCTGCAGGAAACAGAATTTTATCAGTAGAGGAAACCAGAAAGAGCTTGTCTAGCACAGTGGTTTGTTGACTCTGTAGAACCCTACTCTTAAGGGCTCTGGGGGTATGACTGGGGAGGCAAGGTTTGCCAGGTCACCAAACCTAGCTTCACCTAGAGTAATTCTATTTTTAAGTATTCATATATAAGGCTTTCAAACAAAATGATATTGAAAAATAGTTTTGCTATTAAATCAGTTTGTAAACCTTCAGGCTACTTCTGTAACCTTGGCGACTCTGGGCCTCCATTTCCTCATCTGTGAAATATGAGAATGGTGCTATGATAGTTCAAGCTTATATTCACATCCCCGCCTGACCTTTTTCAAGTAAAAAGTAGACCACAGGAGAGGCCTACATGGGCCACATAGAGAGTTGATGACAGAACCAAGACTGGAATTTAACCACCAAACCTGATTGTTGTTGGTCTATTTTATTCCTCTTTTAAAGGTATCTACAAAGTGGGTATAAACAAATTATAGATATTAATTATATGGAAAAGGTGGCTATCAGGAGGTATATAAATGGCATATAAAAATTGAGCTATACTTACAAATTTGCCTTATTTAAAGCGGGTATGCTAGCTCCAACGAACATTGAACATTCACCTATTTTTACTTTCATTCTTCAGGTTTATAGAAATATTTGGTTGAGTTGTTTGCATGGCCCATTTCTCTTTTACAAAGCTATTTATGAGTTGTTCTCTTCTTGGTAAATCTCCAAGTAATTAGTGGTGGCATTTAAAATCATTCCATTAATCATTCCTTTCATGTTTAAGTCTCTAAATGTAAAAGCATCACTAAGAAGTAAAGATTTGGGAAGCAGGAGTCTCTAATTCTGGTCCTTTCATTCATCTCCTTTGCTTTGCTCATCTTCCTCTCTTCATCCCCTCCTCTCCAAATCAGGGGTATCCATGAAGAGGAAACGAAGTCACAAAACAACTGAGAGGTGTGTGTGGACAGGAGGGATCGAAGGGCAGTCGTCATGCTCCTTGGCCTTGTTAATGGTGGGGGTGCTGATGGGCTGATTGTATTATAGCCTTGGGGGCTTTCGTGTGTAAAGATAAAATAAAACAAAACAGCTCACAGAGACACCTCCTTCTTCCCCCTCCTCCTGCCTCCATGTGTAACTACCCATATGCCGTGCTGCTGCCAAGACCAAGGAATGAGTGAGTAAAGGTGTTTAGAAGTGAAGTATTGGTCCTGGTTAAATAAGTGTCATTTTACATATAAGTGTTAAAACTGAATAATGTGGATACCCTACTAATTTGGGATTCATAGGATTTGAACATAGGTAAAGCCACCTTTACATCATGAGAAAGGACTTGTCTGCTCCAGGTAGTGATTCAGTAACACAGTAGGAAAGATGGCAGGGACAGTGTTTAACCTACGTAAGACAGACTTTCAGAGGACATCACAGCATCTGTTTTACATGAACAGACTATTAAAATCATGTTTGGTAAGACCTGCGCATAGCAATATGTTGTTACTCATTTGTCAAGGTCACAACAAGTAATTAAAAGTAATATTGACTTAACAGTAATGCATAATTCAGTCTTACTTCTCTCCCTTCAACCTCTAGAGGAAGTTCAAATTCTGATTAGGGCCATTATGTTGGGTTTTTATTTTGATGAGTAGTTTTAATCTAGTAGTTTAACAGTTTCGTGTATGTATATATATTTATGGTAAGATGCTAGTCTGGCCACAAAGAGAAGTAATACTTACACCATGTAAAGAATAAAGTATCTTACCTTTAATTTGATTGTTCTGTTTGGAATTTGTTTCATAAGTCTGGAAAAGAACTAAAGAAATTTGATTATAATTGATGCTTTCTGAGTTAGATTTTGGTGGTTTTCTTTGCTTCTTGCTCTAATTGGGTTGAGGGCAGGTAGACAATTCTGCACTGAATTAGTCTTTGAAACAGAATTTTCCATGTGTTTGTACTTTTTCCCCCAAATACATGTTAACTGACTTAAATCATCTTCACTGGTAGAGAAAATCAAGGTGTTACTGGTTCTTTTGTTGTGCTGTGAAATTGGGTCATTACTACTGCATCCACCTTTCACCACTAAGTCTTCATGTTTATTTCTTGTTTTCACTTATAAGCCTGATTGAAAGCTATACACCTAGCAATAATACCACATTAATTGTGGTCCAGAAAAAGCACAATGTCCTCTTGAAATCTTTATGGTAGAAAAAGCAATACTTGTTTAAAGATATTCACTGCCAAATCTTGCTGAAAAATTATCATGCAGAAATCTGATTGTGAAGGAGGAAATCTAAAAAGGCAAAACAAGCTTCCGCAGAGATAAGACTGGAAAAGCAGTAGTTACTCAGACAAGTTAAGACTGAAAGAGAAGGTTGTACTCCTTTTCTTTCATTTCATTTTGTTTTTTTCTGAGTTTTTTTTAATTTAAACAATTAAGTAGATAGGGTATAGCTTTCATTTATATATAATTCAAAACTTTAACGTAGTAACAATTTATATTTCCAATGTGAATTTTAAATAGATCCTTTCCATAACTTGTGATTACCCCCAAAAAATCATTTGTAGTCTATGTTATAGAAATACTGGGTTGATTTATACAGCTGACCCTTGAACAGCTCCGGGACTAGGGGGCACTGACCCTTCATATAAGTCAAAAATCCGCACAGAGCTTTTGACTCCTCAGAAATTTAACTACTAATAGCCTACTATTGACCAGAAGCTTTACCAGTAACATAAACAATTACCACAGACTTTTATGTTATACATATATTGTATACTGTATTCTAACAATAAAGTAAGCTGGAGGAAAGAAAATATTTTTTCAAATTTTCGCAGATCTCCAAAATCTTTTCAAATATATTGATTGAAAAAAACCACATGTAATTGGACTCACACAGTTTAAATCCATGTTGTTAAAGGGTCAATTGTACTGTCTCAATATCAAACACCAGTTTCCCAGAGTATACTTTCACATGGAGTTAACATTCAAATTCTAGAGGGACCACCTAACACTCAATATGAACTGGCACCACTGCAGCTGCTTATTAATGTAGTTTCCTCACTGAAGTGCCATTAATAAAACAGATACCCTGAACACATTTTGTAGAAGATCTAAAGAGCTTTCAGACTCAAAGTTTATATGTAGTTCAATGAGTATCACTATGCAAATATAGAATGTATTGAAAGTTTATGAAGGAAAGGTGCAGTGTTAGAAGGTAAATTTAGAACTTAAGTAATATACCATATTGTATTACTAGATTAATTTAGTCTGACTCCCAGCTGACTATTTGCCACACACCTGAAAGCTGGCTTATTGATGAAGAGTGCCTAAGTGATCTGAAGACCTGTTTCTTTGGTGTTCCATAGGGTGAATACATTATGCGATAGACATTTATGTTCAGAACAGCACACTCTTCCCTCCTTCAGCAAGTTGTTGGGTTTTCAGCATGTGAATGTTGCACGTGTTGTCTTCTGTAATTTTTTACTTACCGTTTGTTTTTCTTCTTTCACAGCAGTCAGTCACTAAGGACAAGTCCCAGGATTTCAGACAGGGCTCAGAGTCTATGACACAGTAAGCAACTTTTTCTCCTAAATAAATGGCAGTGATATTTATTGTGATATATATGTTTATAGGGATACTAGGTTTTTTTAAAGGACAATTTCTCCATTTCCCTCCTCAGAACACCATACTTTAAATTAAATTTTAGACAATTGACTTTTAAAAGAGTTAAGCTAGTTAAAGGAGAATATTTTAATGATTGGACTTTGTGGATATGTATTACAAAGTTATAAGAAATAATATTAAATACAATTTTTAAATGACACTAAAATTTTGTTTTTGTGGATCCATTTTGTTATTTATTTTGGTTTTAGTAACATTTTGAAATGACATTAACTGAAAACAACTAGCTGATATGGTTTATATATATATATATGAGATATATGTGGTTTATATATATATATATACATATATATATATATAAAATGAAGCTTTAAAGAAAAAAAGGTAATACCCAGAATATTATCATTGTATATTTTCTTCAAATTCCTGATGTGTTTGAGCAATTTACTTTGAGGTATTTGCTTGCACACATGCACATACACATAATCCCTGCTGCATTTCCTTCAGGAAAGTACTTTTTCAAGTTAACCCTGCCATACATTTTGACATTTTTGAAGAATAATATGTCCCTTCCAGTTCAAAAATTCTGATTCAGATGACAGTCTAATTTACAGGAATTATCAAATAAAATCATGCATTATTTCACAAGATAATATTTCATTCTACAGATAATAGACAAACAATTTTTAAGTGGTATTTAAAAGAGTCAGAGAATGATGACCTATAAGATACCTTAGAAATTCTATATTCCCTTTATTTTATAGTCAGGAAAACTAAGAGGAAAGGCCTTGTGCAAATTTCAAGTGCACACATTTATGTCAGCACTTGAATGAAGACCTGAGTCTCCTCATTCCCAGACTACTGGAATGTTGTTTGTTTTTTAAACTATATCAGTGTTGTCAGTCTCCTTGGTTAGATACCATTTTGTTAGAAGTTTAAAAATCTTTCTTTTTGAGAGAGAAAATCTGTTGATGATTATATAACTATATACAGCCCTGGATTGCTTTAGAGCACAGTCACTCACATATCATATTTGATTCTCATCAAATATGATGAGGAACAGTATTCTGACTCCTCTTACATATGAACAAACAAGGTCTGAGATGCTGTGACTGGTGTCTGTCACTGTAGGTAATAAGTGGCAGACCCAGTACCAGAACACAGGTCCTCCGTTCCTAATCTGTTCTTTCCATGCTTTCCCTTTGCTTGTCACATGATACACACACACATCCCAGGTCTTTTTGTTATATCTGCTGGGTAAGTTTTCAGTTCTAATCTCTGAACAATTGAAATTTTACGTAATAATTGATAATACAGTTACTGACCTACAGAGTTCATACTCAATGACAAGATTATACATATAAAAAAAGCAGACTGGAACAATGAGGGCAAACTAGCAATAACCAAAATATGACCGCATTTAATATATGAAAAATGCTCTCAGTGTCTTTGAGCATATTTTATAAACATTTTCAGAACTTTTTGATATGTTAATGGGAAACTCTCTATTCTGACTGTATCAGATGCCTATTTTCAGGTGATAGATCCATGCCATGCTGTCCCGATTAAAGTACAAAAAAGCCTATCAAAACATCCTAGCTTCTCAAGTCTGTCAGGGTAGCTTGGCTTCTCCTTTTGAACATAAAGCATTTAAGAAGCTTCTGAAAATAATTTTTCATAAGTTTAGATAATGTCTAACTACTCAAGTTCATCTAAAGCCTTTGGGCTTTCCCTGTACTCATAATTTCTTAGAAGTAAGGATGAATTAAGATACTTTGTCATGACTTGAAAACTGTAGGTGAGTTGAAGGTGGAAATACTGTAGCCCATTATGTACAAAGAAGTCATTTCTTTATTTCTTTAATTTGCCTCAATGAGTCCATTGTACCCAAGTAAATGGACAGAGGCTAATTGTTTTGTTTCATTGCAGCCTTACCATTCAGTTTGCAACATCTGCTTATTAGTGGTTGACCAAAATATATAAATGAGCCACACAGAACTGCCTCTTACCACTTTCCACTTGAATTTCTTGTCTCATTTATTCTTCTTTACTTTTTTTAGAAATGTCAGTCACTTCTGTGCAAACAATTTTTATACATTTTAGTAAAGCTACACTCTCTTAAGATGTCAGAAGAACCTTCTATAAGTTAACAAAGATGTATTTCCTTGAAAGTCTTAAACTACCCCAAGACCCTGTGAGTCTATCTGCTGCCTAAATCAAAATTTGTAATGAATTTATATTCTATAAATGTGTTATAATCCATAGTAAGTAGTATTAGTGTTCCCAAATTACTAACACATTTTATCTTGAGTTTGTTGAGGTTTTTTTTAATCTAGAATATTTTGTTAATATTAATAGCTTTGGTCAGAGAGAAGTTAATCCAGGTGGTGTATCATCTTAAAGTCATTTATGAAAACGCAAATGTGAACAGAATGAATGAATGAAATCTCTTCTTCCATAGAGTTAATTCTAAGTATCCTATCACTCACTCTTCTACTATATGTTTTTTCCACCTTCATAATAATCCTGTTCCAGACCCCTTCAGTTTTTTCTTCTCTTCATGAGGAGATAGTTTACCTTTTTTCCCTAAAATACCATTAACTTTAAACTTTTTTTTAAGTTCTTACTTTGATTATTCATTTTTTAGCCTTTTCCTCCCCCTCCCCCACAACTTTCTTAAATCAAAGTCATACCAATTTGTTTCAGTGTCAGGTGTGTGACATCATAATGTTCTTTATATATTCTAAATATGTTCTTTATCAAATACATGATTTGCAGATATTTTCTTCCTGTCTTGTTTTGCCTTTTCCTTAACAGTACCTTTCAAAGAGCAAACTTTTTATTTTTGATTAAGTTCATCAATTTTTTTCTTTTATGAATCATGCTTTAGTGTAGTATCTGAGAAACTTTTGCCCAATGTCACAAAGGTTGTCTCTTATGTTTCCTTGTAAAATTTTTATAATTTCACGTTTTATATTTAAGTCTATGATCTGTTTTGTATTAATTTTTGTAAATGGTATGAGGTGTGGATCAGAGGATTTTGTTTGGTTTGCTTTGCAATTGGATGTCCAGTTGTTCTATAATCATTTGTTGAAAAACCGGTCCTGTTTCAATTGAATGGCCTTTGCACCTTTGTTGAAAATCAGTAGTCAGAACATGGCATGGTTCTGTTTCTGGACTTTCTGTTCTGATCCATTGATCTTCTTCTCTGTCTTTACACCAGTAACATACCCTTGATTCCTGTAGTTTTATGATATTTCTTGGAATCAAGTATTAATGGTCCCCTGACTTTATCTCTTTTTAAAGTTGGTTTGAGCTATTCAAGGTCCTTTGTATGTCCACAGGAATTTTAGAATAAGCTTGTCAGCTTCTACAACAAAGCTTGCTGGAATTCCAGTTGTCGGTTGCCTTGAATCCACAGATAAGTTTGGGGAGAATTGACATGTTAAGAACACTCCATCATATGATTCTTCTCTGTCTTTACACCAGTAACATACCCTTGATTCCTGTAGTTTTATGATATTTCTTGGAATCAAGTATTAATGGTCCCCTGACTTTATCTCTTTTTAAAGTTGGTTTGAGCTATTCAAGGTCCTTTGTATGTCCACAGGAATTTTAGAATAAGCTTGTCAGCTTCTACAACAAAGCTTGCTGGAATTCCAGTTGTCGGTTGCCTTGAATCCACAGATAAGTTTGGGGAGAATTGACATGTTAAGAACACTCCATCATATGACTCATTAACATAATATATTTCTCCAGTTATTTAGGTCTCCTTTAATTTTTTTCACACTGGTTTTTAGTATTCAGTGTGTAAGTCCTACCCTTCCTTCCTCCCTCCCTCTTCCTTCACATATTTATATGATTGATTCCTGCATATTTTGTATGTAAATGATATTGTCTTTCAATTTACATTTATTTCTAATTTATAGACGTACTGCTGATTGCTGTATGTTGATCTTGTATCATGCCACCTTACTAAACTCTCATTAGCTTTAATAGCTTTTTAGTGGATTTCATCAGATTTTCTACATAGACAGTCATGCAAACAAAAATCAGTTTAATTTCTTCCTTCCCAATCTGGATGCCTTTTATCCTTTTTCTTTGCTTTACTTTGCTTTGCTTTGCTTTATTTGCTTTTTTCTTTTCTTTCTCTTTATTTCTTTTCTTTTTTCCTTACTTTCTTCCTTTGTTCCTGCCTTCCTTCCTTCCTCCCTCCATCCATCCCTCCCTTCCCCTACCTACCTTCCCTCCCTTCCCTTCCTTCTTTTTTTTTTTTTTGCCTAATCATTGCACTGCCTAGAACCTCCAGTACATTGTTGAATAGAAGTGATGATAGCAGATAAATCTTATCTTCTTCCTGATCTTACGAGAAATGAGTGGAAAGCATTCAATATGACATTATCATATGTTTTTTTTAAATAAATGCCCTTTATCAGATAGTTTCCTTTATTTCCTACTTTGCTAAGAGTTTGTATCAGTAGTGGATGTTGAGTTTTTGTCAAATGCTTTTACTACATCTATTAAGAGAATAAAATAATTTTTTTAATTTGTTAATATGGTAAATTACATTGATTTTCAGATGTTAAACCAATCTTTCATTCTTAAGATAAAGCCCAATTAATCATGGTGTGTTATCCTTTTTATAAACTGATAGACTTGATTTGCTCAAGTTTTATTTAGAATGTCCTACATTTTGTTCATGAGGGATATAGGTCTATAGTTTTCTTGTAATGTCTAGTCTGGTTTTGGTATCAGGGTAGGCTGGCTTCATGGAATGACTTGGGAAGAATTCCCACTTAAGTTTTTTGGAAGAGTCTGTGTAGATTTGGTATTCCACTTCCTTCTGTAATTTCTTTTTCTTTATTGATAATCTCTGTTACGTGTGATGTTGTTCTCATACTTTCCTTTAGTCCTTTAGACATGATTTCCTTTAGTTCTTTTTAGTGGATTTTAAGTCTTTGGCTAGAAAGTCCAATGTCTGGACTTCCTAAAGAACAGTTTCTCGTTATTGCTTTTGCCTGTGTGTATGGGCTGTACTTTCTTATTTCTTTGGATGTCTTATGATCTTTTGTTGACAGATGGACACTTTAAATGATGTACTGCAACAACTCTGGGAATCAGATTCTTACATCTCCCCAGGGTTTGTAGTTCTTGCTACTTACTATAGTTATTTGTCAAGCGACTTCTGTGAACAAGTTCTGTAATTATAATGTTTGGCCACTGAAGTTTCTGCTCAGTTAGATTAGCAATCAGCTGTAATTGGACAGATTTCCTTAAACATCTAGAACCGATAAGTTTCCCAGTCTTGCTTAGGGACTCTGTGTGTATATGTTGTGCATACCTTCAGCTGCTCTCTGCCTTCACTTCCTGTTTGCACCCTGTTAAGGTGAGCCAGAGGTCTTACGGCCTTCTCAGGTCTTGCCAATACATGCAAATAGCCCTAAACAGGCGTGAATCCTGGACTCCACAAACTAGGTCAGAGCCCATCAAAAATCCCTGTGGATATCCTATTCCCCCAGCTTTTGCTTTTCAGCTTGTTAGTGAGTCTGTTGTTTGCTTACTGTTATCTACCATGAGGCAGCCACAAAGTTAATTATAATTGATTTCAATAAGCCTTCCAGGGAAAAGGTAAGCTCTGAGACTGGTCCAATGCAGACAGCTTTTGTAAGAGATGTCTTCCAGGGAACCACCAAACAGGTCAAATAATAATTGTTTGGGAATGAGGCTTTGAAAGAGCTCCAGCCCTCTTCTTCTCCCTCCAGTAGCTGCCAGGTTGCTTGCTGGCTTTCACCATAAATGCAGACTGCCCCCACAGAGCTGGACTGTGAGGGATGGGATGAGGCCAAGTGAAAATGCCAAGATTTTCTTACGCTTTTCTTACCAAGAGTCAACAAGTTACCAAGTTTCTTGAATAAACATTTTCCAGTTGCTACAAGCTTTGGCTAATTTCCAGAATTCTGAAAAAGTAGATTCTAACCATTTTTGCTAGTTTTCTCATAGCTTATTTGGAAAAGAGAATTTTCATAAGCCCCTTACTCCACTGTTTTCACTGATGTCATTCTTTGTTTTCAAATGTTGGGTAGACTTGCCAGTAAAGCTATCTGGGCCTGCCCTTTTCTTTTTTTGGAGGATTTTTAACTACAAATTCTATTTATTTAATAGAAATAGTGCTATTTGGGTTATCTAGTTTTGTATAAGCTTTGTTAGCTTATGCCTTTCAAGGAATTTGTCCATTTCATCTACATGGTTGAATTCATTGACTTTCAATTTACTTGTTTATAATATCCTCCCATTATAACTTTTTCATACTAATAGAATCTCTAATTCTGATTCCTGGTGTTGATTTATTTCTTTTCTTTTTTCCCCAGTCTGGCTAATGGTTTATCAATTTTACTGATCTTATTAAAGAACCAGCTTTTTGTCTCATTGATTTCCTTTATTCTCTGTCTTCTATTTTATTGATTTCCACTCTGATCTTTATTTCTACTTATTTTTGCTTTAACCTGTACTTCTTTTCTAGTTTTTAAAATGGAAACTGTGGTTAATTGACACCTTTCTTCTCTCCTAAAGTAAACTTCTAATGCCATCATTTCCCACCTAAATACTACTTTACTAGCATTCCATGAATTTTGATATGTCGTGGTTTCATTTTCATTCCATTCAAAACACTTTTTTAATTTTCCTTTGGATTTCTTTATCCTATGGGTTATTTAGAAGTGTGTCAGTTCATTTTTAATGTTTAGGGATTTTTCCAGAGATCTTTCTGTTAGTGATTTCTAATGTAATTCCATTGTGGTCAGAGAACATACTTTAGATTATCTGAATTTAATTTATTGAAAATTGTTTTGTGATCCTTCATATATCTCTTGGTGAAGATTTTGAGTGCCCTTGAAAAGAATGTGTATTATGCCCTTGTCTACTGAGCATTCTTTTATAAATAAGTTAGATCACATAGGCTAATAGTGTTGTTTATGTCTTGTGTTGTTCAGTGATTTTTCTTTCTACTTGTTCTATCAGTTATTGAGAGTTGGGTATTGAAATCTCCATCTAATACTGTAGGTTTGTTTTTTCCTTCTTGAAGTTCTGACAGGTTTTGTGTCATGTATTTTGAAGCTCTCTATAAAGTTCCTATGTATTTATGATATGTCCTCTTGAAGGACTGACACCCTTATTAAATGATATTCTTTTTTTCTGTTCATGTTCTTTGTTCTGTACTTTGCTTCATACTAACAGTCACTCCAACTTTCTGTTAATATAGAATGTTGTTTTTTCATACTTTAAATATAAAGATACAAATAGATTAAAATTTAAAGTGTGTTTCTTTATAGAAACAGCATATAGCTGAGTTTATGCTTTTTATATCCAGTATGACCATCTGTTTTTTAATTAGGGTAATTTACATTTAATATGTTTGAGTTTTAGTCTAGCATACTACTTTTTATTTTCAATTTATAATTCTTTGTTTTCTTCTTTCATCTTTTTTCTGCTTTCTTTTAGAGTACTTTTTATCTACTTTATCCTATTTGTTAGCTAATTATAACTTTTTGTACTGTTTAAGTAATTTCTTTAAGGTTTATAATTACAAATCCTTATCACACAGTATATCTTCAAGAACTTTAAGATAGTATACTTCTACTTCTTTGCTCCTAACCTTCACGTTTCTGTACTTATACATTTTTTTAGTTCTATGTTATAAACCCCTCACTAGATTTTTGTTATTTTTGCTGAAACTGTAATCCTTTGAAGAGATTGAATAATAGGAAAATCTTACATATTTGCCCATTTTTTAATCAATTCAAATGTTTTTCATTACTTTGTGTAGCTCTATATTTCCACTTGATATTTCCTTTCTGCCTAAAGGACTCCCTTTATCATTTCTCGTAGTGTTGGCTAGCTAAAAATGAATGCCTTCACTTTTTACATGTCTGAAAATGGTCGAGTTCACCTCTGTTTCTGAACACTATTTTCATTTGGTATACAATTTGGTATGAAAAGATTTGCTTTTTTTTTCTTTCTGTACTTCAAAGATGTTGCTCCACTGTTTTCTCACTTGTAATTTTTCCAACAAGAAATAGGCTACTGTGCTTATCTGTGTTGTGGACATAGCATATTTTCTGTTACTCTGGCTACTTTAAAAATTTATCTTTATCACCGATTTTGAGCAATTTGCTTATGATGTGCCTTGTAATTTTCTTCATGTTTCTTCTGGGGGTTGATTGAGCTTGGAGTTATATGATTATAGTTTTCATCAGAGTTGGAACAGTTGGGGCCAATTTTTCTTCTGCTTTTTGTGTGTATCCATTTCTCTCCTGTTCTTTTGAGAATTCCAGTTACATGTATTAGGCCATATGAGGGTGTCCCACAGCTTACTGGTGATTTGTTTTGTTCTCTGTGTTTCATCTTGGATAGTTCTCTTGCTGTGTCTTCAAATTATCTAATCTCTGTGATGTCTAATCTGCCTTTAACCCCATCCAGTATATTTTTCACCTCAAACATTTTAATTTCAGTTCTAGATATTCAGTTCGGTATCTTCTAGATACAGGCATAGCTCATTTTATTTCACTTCTCTTTATCACACTTTGCAGGTATTGGACTTTTTGCAAATTGAAGGTTTGTGGCAACACTTCATAGACCAAGTTTATTGACACCATTTTTCCAATATGCTCACTTCATATCTCTGTGTTACATTTTGTTCACTTCATATCTCTTTTTCACATTTTGGTAATTTTCCCAGTATTTCAAACTTTTTCATTATTAGTATATTTGCTATAGTGATCTGTGATCACTCATCTTTGGTGTTACTGTTGTACTTATTTTCCAGTGCCTTGAGCTGTGCCCATATAAGATAGATGGTGAACTTAATCAATAACTGTGTGTGTTCTGACTGTTCCAGTAACTGACAGTTCTCCATCTCCCTCTCCTCAGGCCTCGCTCTTCCCTAAGACACAATATTGAAATAAGGCCAATTAACAACCTTTTAATGGCCTCTAAGTGTTCAAGTGAAAGGAAGAGTCAGATGTCTCTCACTGTAAATCAAAAGCTCTAAATGATTAAGCCTAGTGAAGAAGGTGTATCCCAAGCCAAGATAGGCCAAAAGCTGTATCTCTTGTGCCAAGCAGTAAGCCAAGTTCTTGAAGGCAATTAAAAGTGCTGCTCCAATGAACACAGGAATGATAAGAAAGCAAAACAGCCTTATTGCTGATATGAAGAAAGTTTTAGTGGTCTGAATAGAAGATTAAACTAGCCACAACATTCCCTTAGGCCAAAGCCTAATCCAGAGCAAGGTCCTAACTCTCTTCAGTCTTATGAAAGCTGAGAGAGGGGAGGAAGCTGCAGAAGAAGAGTTTGAAGCTAGCAAAGGGTGGTTCATGAGGGTTAAGGAAAGAAGCTGTCTTCATAACAGAAGAGCACAAGACAAAGCAGCAAGTGATACAGAATCTGAAGCAAGTTCTCCAGAGATCTAGCTAAGATCATTAATGAAGGTGGCTACACTAAACAACAGCTTTTCAATGTAGTTGAAACAGCCTTCTATTGGAAGAAGATGCCATCTAGAACTTTCATAGCTACTGAGAAGTCAGTGTCTTCAAAGCTTCAAGGACAGGCCAACTCTTGTTAGGAATTAATGCAGTTGGTAGCTTTAAGTTGAAGCCAATAATCATTTGCTGTTCTGAAAATCCTAGGGCCCTTAAGAATTCTGCTAAATCTACTCTCCCTGTGCTCTGTAAATGGAACAACATAGCTTGGATTGACAACATGGGTTAACTGAATATTTTAAGCCCATTGTTGAGACTTACTGCAGAGAAAAAAAAAATTACATTCAAAATATTACTGCTCACTGACAATGCACCTGATCACCCAAGAGCTCTGATGAAGATGGACAAGATTCATGTTTTTTTCATGTCTGCTAGCAGAACATCCATTCTGCAGGCTTGGGTCAAACAGTAATTTCAACTTTCAAGTCTTGCTATTTAACAAATACATTTTATAAAACTATAACTGCCATAGATAGTGATTCCTCTGATGGATCTGGGCAGAGTAAATTGAAAACCTTCTGGAAAGGATTCAGCATTCTAGATGCCATTAAGAACATTTGTGATTCATGGAAAAAGGTCAAAACATCAACATTAACAAGTTTGAAAGAAATTGATTCCAACCCTCATGGATGACATTGAGGGCTCAGAAGTGGAGGAAGTTAACTATAGATGTGGTGGAGGAAACAGCATGAGAATTAGAATTAGAAGTGGAGTCTGAAGCTGTGACTTAATTGCTGCATCTCATGATAAAACTTGAATGGATAAGGAGTTCCTTCTCATGGATGAATAAAGACTGATTTCTTGAGATGGAATATACTCCTGGTGAAGGTGCTGTGAAGAGTGAAATGAAAGAAAGGATTTCAAATATTCCATAAACTTAGTTGATAAAGCAATGGCAGAGTTTAAGAACACTGACTCCAATTTTGAAAGTTCTGCTGTGGATAAAATGCTGTCAAACAACATCGCATGCTATAGAGAAATCATGAAAGGAAGAGTCAGTCGATGTGGCAAAGTCATTGTTACATTATTTTAAGAAAATGCCACAGCCACCCCAGTTTTCAGGAAACACAACCCTGATAAGTCAGCAGGCAACATCAAGGCAAGACCCTCCAGCAGCAAAAAGAAAGCCCAAGTGATGGTTAGAATATTTTAGCAATAAAGTATTTTAATTAAGGTATGTACTTCATTTCTTTAGACATAATGTTATTGTGCACTTAATAGATTACAATATATTATAATATCAGTTTTATATTCACTGGGAAATCAAAAATTTCATTTGAACCTCTTTATTGTGATACCCACTTAGTCAGGGTGATCTGGACCCAGACCTGCAGTATCCCCAAGGAATGCCTGCATCTTCCATGCATGTACTTAACCTTGAACAGACAGAATATAGTTATAAAAACTATGTTAATGTCTTTGATAATTCAAACACATAAGTCAGTTCTCAATCCATTTCAATATTTTTGTCCTCGTCATGGGTTGTATTTTTCCTATTTCTTTGCATCCCTAGTAAATTTTTACTAAATTCCACACACTGAAAATTTTAACCTTTGGTTACTAGTTATTTTTGTACTGCTATAAATATTCTTATGCTCTGTTCTAGAATGTAGTTAAGCTACTTCAAATCAGTTTGATCTTTTCAGGTATTTGTTATGTGGGACCAGACCATGTTTAGTCTAGGGTTAGTTTTTCTTCACTACTGGTACAAATCCCTTCTCAGTACTATACCCAGGGCCCGCTGAGTTGTGAGATTTTTCCAGCCAGACTCATGGAAATGGGCACTGTTTCTGGCCTCTGGAACTTTGCTCGGCTGCATATACTTATCAGTACTCTGCTGAATACTTGAAAGTAATCTTTTGCAGATCTTCATATTCTCGCGGCATGACACTCTCCCCTCTCCGGCACTCTGTGACCTCTGGCCGCCTTGGTCTCCTCAGACTCCCAGCCCCCAGTCAGGGAGTCCTCCAGGCTCTCACGCATCTTTCATCCCCTCTTCTGTGGCCTGGAAACTCTCAAGGCAATAAGCTGGGCAATTAATAGGGCTCATCTCAGTTATTTTCCATTTCTTGGGTATCACTGTCCTTCATTGCCTATGATTCAGTATCTTGAAAATTGTTGTTTTATATGTTTTGTTCATTTTTTGGTTGTTACAGGCAAGTGGTAAATCTGGGCCCTGTTGCTCCATCTTGGCTGCAAGCAAAAGTTCAGATGTTGTGTTTTCAAGGTAGCTTTCTGTTAGGTGATATGTAGATTATGAGGGAGAAAAGGTAGAGAGGATCACACAGTCTAACTTTACTACAGTGGTCAGGGAAAGCCAAAGATGTTTTAGCATTTAAGTCTTAAAGACCTTGTAGAGACTGACTGAACCAAAAAAGGACCTAGATGTTAGAAGGATAGCACGGAAGCGTGGAAGTGCCTGAGGCTAACACGGTGCTCCAGGGCTGGAACGAAGGTCAGAAACTGGGGCCTTACAGGATACAGACTTTGGCTAGGTCCAGTGTGTGTGTGTGTGTTGCCCAACATAAATGCAGATTTCTGACTTCTTTTAAAAATAATCTGAAGTTCAGGACCCCAGCTCCACATTCTTCCTGGGCTATCCATCAGCTGGAGCTGACACAGTGGATTACCTCCTTAATGTATGTCATCCACTCTCTGGTTTGCTGTGGCTCAGTTGTAGGAAACCAGCTCGCTTCCCTCAGTCCTCTTACCACCCTAACCTCCACAGACACTGGAGTTTCTGCTTTAATGCTGGAGGGTAGGTTCCCTGGAAACAGACTGTAGATTATCAGGGCTTTGTTTCAGAGCTCTACATTTTCTTACTCATCATCATTCTCCTTTTTCTAAATGCACTTTATTTGTTCTTTCATCTTTGTAATTTCTGATCTTTTCCTTCCCAGTCATCTAACTTTATTTTACTTACTTGCACATCTTCATATTAGTCTTCTCAAGGCTAACATACCACAGACTGAATGGCTTAACCAACAAAAATGTGTGTGTTCATGGTTCTTGAAGGTTGGACGATCAAGGTTAAGTTTCTAACAGGCTTGATTTCTGGTGAGGCTGCTGTTTCTGGCTTCACGTGGCCACCTTCTTGCTGTGTCTTCACATGGGCTTTCCTCTGTGCATGTATAGAGGGAAACCAGTGTGTCTTCCTCTTCTGATAAGGACAGAGGTCCTGTGAATTAGGACCTCACCCTTATGACCTCGTTTACCTTAATTACCTCCATAAACCCTATCATCAAATACAGTTACTCTGGGGTTTGGGGCTTGAACTGTGAATTTTGAGAGAACACAATTCAGTCCTTATCAGTCTCTATTTAGTCCTACTTAGGACCTGATTTTGAAATTCTTGCATCTTTTTTCAAACTCTATTCAGAGTTCTACATTTCCTTACTCTTCATCATTCTCATATCCAGTCTCCCACTGGATAACATAAAAAGAAGATACTGTCCTCCATTCTTTGAATTTCCCCTTATTTATCATTTTTTATTTTCTTTCTCCCAATAAAATTGGCACTACTATGCATTCATCCACTGAATATTCATTTTATATTTTACTACTACTATTAAAACATTTGGAAAGCTGCACTCCTCATCCCACAGGTCAGAATATCCCAGCTTTCTTACACATAAACTTCTATTACTCCTTTGTCATTAAAGAATCTGCTGTATTTTTACATAGACACACACATTTTTCCATATAATTTGGTAAAAACTTTCTGGTTTTTCCCAGGCATCTAATATTTTTCTGAGAGAAGTAAAATATATTTTATTCTTGCCCCTTCATCATGGTGAAGGAGGAGCCCACCCAGCTACACTCATATGTCCCTACAGTATGTTGAGCGACTCCCTGTCTCTTGGCACATATATAATCACTCACCTAGTCTGCCAAGTGTTTTCCTCTCAGATCCTCCACTGTGTATTCCCACTTCCAGCTCCCTCAATCAGAACTTCATCTGAGCTATTGCAACAGCTTTCTTATAGCTCCTTGTTCCTGATCTTCCCCGCCTGTAGTTCTGAAGTGGGCAAAGAGCAGAGCTGTGAGGACCGAGGACACTTAGTGGATATGCAGGTGAAGAAGAATGAGCAAACTGGCCGAAAAGTCACCCGAATAGAGGTAAGAGGAAAACCATGAGAAAGCTGCATCATGGAACAGCAGGAAAGGGTTTCGGGAAGGCACAGTCAACAGTGGCAAGTGGCAAAGAAAGGAGAAAATAAAGACTGAAGAGTGCCTTTTGGGATTTGCAACCAAGAGGCCATTTGTGACCTTTGAGAGGGTAGTTTTGATGGAGAGTCCTAGAAGCCTGAATCAGATTGTCTCCAACCAGAAGGGGAAAGTCCATGAGAACAGACTGCTTCGCCAAGAAGCCAAACTTCAAAGGAAAGAGAAGGTTCAGCAACTAGTAGGAAACAGTATGTAGAGAAGATATCTGGTGTTGGGGGACGGGTAACAAGAGTAGTTTCTACCTGAGAGGAGGGAGTCCTTTGAGAGAAGCCATCAAAGTGCAGGATAAGCTGGGTGACCCCTGGAGAAATAACCCTGAGGAAATGCAGATGAGAATTTGAAACGAGAGGGACTCTTTCACTGAGAGGAAAGTGAGACAAAATGTGTTTGAATGGCAGTGTTTTCTAGTGGAGAGTGAAGTATAGGGCAGGACAGGTCATTCTAAAGCAGGAAAATCTGTTTTCTCCATATGTTAGGTAGAAGTGAAGTTTGCTGAAAGTGAAATGGTACAGCCTTATCATGTCCACTTTTATGAAATTGTCACTTTTGAAGAACTGGACTCAAAATTTTCATGAGTATTTTTAGATTGTAACCATAGAAATATAAAATCTCATACAGAAAGCATATACATGAATAGTTACAGAAATAACTTTTTATCCTTGATACCAGAACCAAAACATTTTGAAACAGATTTTTAGATTTAAATAATAGAAACTTTAAAATAATGTCTGTCAAAGAGAAAAAAAAAAAACACCATAAGCAAAATCTAAAAATGAACAGTAACCTGAGATGGGGAAGAACATCACAAAATATACAACAGATAAAGGATTAATGCCCTTAACATATGAAAAGTTCCCAAAAAATCAGCAAGGAAAAGAAGTACACCAATAGAAAAATTGGCCAAGGACATTCACGGGACATTCTTAAAGGAATATATATAAATGGCATTGAACACACATATGAAAAATGTCCACCTTCCAGTGACCAAATTACTAGAAATTAAACAACAAATTATAAGGCTTTTTCCCCTTGCAAAATAGCAACATATTTGAAACTACTAATACCTAGTATTGATGAGGGCATGGGAAGCTGTTTCCCTCCTGCCCTGCTGGTAGTCATAGAAGATTGATCCGTTTTTTTTGGAGGATAGCTTAGCAATTCTGGTTTGTTTATTTCTTTAAGCTTTCAAATTGTTCAAGCCCTTAGACCTGACAGTTTTATTTTCAGGCATCTGTTGTTGGAAAATATTCAAGTATGGATGCAGAGATTCAGTTGAAAGTCTACTCCTTCAAGCAGCATTTTAGAAACAGAAAGTAAAAAATCAATTTCTAGAAACAGAAGATTTTTTAAATTATGACACATTTATACAATAGAATACCATGTGACTATCATTCATTACGTTTTAGAAATATTTTCATAGATATGGAAAGATGCTTATGATAAATGTTTAGGAGAAAGGTGACTATGAATAGTTTATATATAACATATATAATATATTGAGCAATATACATAAAAAATGTCAGGAGTTATCTCTGAAAAATGGAATTGTGATTTCTATCATACTACTTTGTGTTCTTTCTAATTTTTCTACTCAGCACATTTTGATTGATATGTACTACTTGATCATTTCATTTAAAATGAAAGTCACTGCAGAGAGCTTTCTAATATAGTCCATTCTTTCTACATTTAAAGAAATCAAAGTCTCAGAGTCATAGCTAAAAAGTGCCTGAACTAGGACTTGATCTTTTGGCTCCAAATTCAGGGTTATATCTGTTATACAGTGCTCTGTTAACTCTGAGTAGATGGTAAGTGCCTGCAGTGCAGGCAGGGGCTATAACATGCTCACATTCTTCTCTTCCCAGTACTTAGCCTGGTATCTGGAGACGTAGTAAACTTTCAGGGAATATTTATTGGATTGAATTTCTTTTGGGGTAAGGCCCACTATTTTTATGAGTCTTATTTTGCACATGTAACATACACACAAATAAATACTAACTTGGTTTCACACTCATTTTCAAAATCATGCTATGCAGATTTTCCTTCCTCTTATGTTACAATTTGCCTTTTAGAAAATGCCTTCACTTTGTTACTCTCTTCTTCTGTTGTCTTAAGGGGCATCCGTTTTGAGGAGATACCTCAGAGAATGGCTGGATTTGGATTCATTTTGGAGTCTTCTGGTTAGAGGACATCTCTTCCCTCTTCCAGCGGGTCTCCACTGTCTCACAGCATTTCAGTCCCTATGCCTTCAGCCCTCATCATGCTAATGTGCTGTTCTTGCTTTTCCCGTTGTCAGAGGGGAATGTCCACTGTCAGAGGTGTACACTTGACAGGCTCTTCTCCTCCCTTTTATTCTGTCCCTTTTCTCCCTGTCATAGGCATGGTTTGTCATTCTCTATCCAGTGTTCCTTCCTCTTCTTAGTCTGATTCATTTCCCTTAAAGATGTTATCTTTACTGCCTACTTCAGCTTTTGCTAGTTCAGTTTCTCTTCGGGTTCACTCTCCTGAGGGTCCTCGCAGCTTCTGTTTACTTCTCACAGTGCAGTTGCCACCTGATTGACTTAAGTTGTCCCGCATCTTCTGCACGTGCAGGATCCATCTCACTCATTTCCAGCTGTGCTCCCCTTTTTTGTTTTTGTCCTACCACTTTCATAAATTCCCCCTCTCACTCTTTTTTGCCTTGTTATTCTTCTAAGACCCTTTTACCTTCCTTACTGTCCCTTGCAGATGTTTATAGCATCTCTGTGACTTGTGCCCAGCATTCACTTGAGCCTTCCCTGTATTCTTTCCCATTTTTATCAGACCCTAATTTAGGGCAGGTTTTGCCTACTCTGTTTATACATACAGGGACAGAAATGACACCCTTTTCTCCCCATAGTGAGAGTGTACCTTGGTGCACTCTATCTGTACCATTTTATACTGTACTTTAGTAACTTTCATGAGCTTCACGACACATTTTAGGCTTCTGTTTATCTGTGGTAGCTCTGTTTAATTTAAAATCAGGAAATATAAACTGGCAAAGTATTTTTTTCCCTTGTAGAAATGTTTTTTATGTGAAAAGATAGGACAGTCATTTATTTAAGACTGGGCCTGTCCCTAAAAGCCCAAATGTTCCCTAGCCCTCCTGTGGCACCAGGAAGGCCCTTAGGAAATGGTTCACTTGCCCTTTCTTGCCAAAATGCTGTAGTCTTTACTTTTCTCAAGAGTGATCAATGGAATTAACCATCACCTTTTCCAGAGTGCCATCATTCTTAGGCTGCAGTTTGTTTTCTAAGGGCAATTGAGTGTTAAGACCTTTTTGTTTAGAGGAAGGACAACACATTTTTGTGTAAGTCCAGATGCTCATCACTAGTATATGAATAATTGCATTAAAAAATTTCAGGTTCAACTCTACTAGTTTATCACCCTCTAGTTTTCATGTACTTACTACATGGTTTCTAAAGAAGCAGTTTCTGTTTCGTCTGCATATTGGTTCTTGATTTTTATTACTGGTATAATTTACTTTATTTTGAAACTGCATCTACATCTAGATGCATAGTTAATTATCACTATCATAATTAATTCTCAACACACATGTTTTGGATTTATTTGAAAAAATAGTTAACCTTCTTGTAAAAGTAGAAAAACAGCCATAGAATTAAATGAAAGATTGCTATTTAATAAGAGAGTCTATATCCTTTCAGTCACTAACCCTGACACATAATCCATGACAATCTTTTTCCACTGAATGAAGAATTTTATAAACTGCCCTTAATTTCTGGAAGTTACCCAAGGTTTGAACTTACTTAGTATCTGTATTTGAGAAGTGTATTTCTTTCTTGCTTATATTAACTTGTCAGTGCTGTAGCAGGCCTTAAGCCTCTGCTGATGATGCTAAAAAAGTGTGAACACTATGTTCAAGTGGTAAACCAGAAGATAGGTAATTAATATTTTGGTCTTACTTGTGTGTGTGCATGTGTGTGTGTGGCATAGTGGGTTTTATCACCTGTGCTGGTGCCTGGGCATGCCACGATTTAGTAATGGCCAAAAGGCATTGCTTAAGTTCATTTAGCACATTCTGTGTACTTGCCTCCTAGTAAAAAGTTGAAGAAAGAAGAGACAAAGAAACAAATACACAGAAATGAAGTAAATTAAACCAAATGGCATTTCCTTCAGAGTTCAGAATTTTCAGATACTACGAAAGAAAGGATCCACTACTTCTTATGAAAATCTAAAAATGTCAGAAGCGAGGTACGGGTGGAAAAATTTTTAAATGTGGCCTTTTGAGCTTAATTGTTATAAACCATTGTGATAGTTGTTGATCAAAGTATTGGTACTTGTATTTATTAGTAATTGCATCAAAATGATTATTACCACTGTTGGAAAACCAATAAAGAAACAACCATAATTGCTAGTGAGCAAATGTGAGTAAAAAGTGTTTACATTGTCAGGATGTCTGTTAAGTAATCAATTAATATTATTATATCTTTAATGTGGTTATATGTATAATGTCATGCACAGACTATGAAATATCTGCTTTTGAAATTTAACTTTATTTAAAAGCTAAGCTGCTTCAGAATATTATGTATTCAAAATGGTCCCAGTAAGAAAGGCATTAAAAGGGAACAAATTTGTTTGTTTTGAGTGAATCATATATGTAACGTGATACACATAGAGTAAAAATGGCTTTTAGCTAGATAGGCAACAGTATTACAAGTTACTTTACATTTTAAAAGAGCATTTCATATTTAAGCAAGTAATTGATTTGTGGACTTAAATTGTTCAGTACTTATGTTAGTCTTAATATTTGTTTTAAGTTATTACATTGCATTATTTATTTAGTTCCAGAAAATGGTGTTATTACTATGTGACTATTTTAAAATGTGGTGTTACAATCATTTCTTTTTTTCTTGACTCTTCTCAGCTATGTGATTATAAGACTGTCAGCAAAATATTTAAGCCCACAAAGGTCAAAACTAATATAAAATTAGAAAACTTATTTACAAAGTTAGACAATTGATTCCATTAAAATAAGAAGTGAGAAAAACTGTGTTGGGCATTGAGGTGTAAATTTTGCCCAGATGTGTACCCGACGTGAAATATCTTCTAGTAAAAATATATTTGGCTCTTCTCCCTACACATGTTAGAGAAGCATGAAAATTGGTAAACATGCCCATCCTGCTGTGTAGAACCTAAAGGGAGGGTGTCAGGAGGGGGGACATTTTTCTAGTGGTGAGTGGCCAGGATGACTGCAGAAGCCCTCAGCAATCTGCATAGAGATCTGTTCTGATCACTCTGAGCCACTGTTGATTTAGAGGCAGACATCTGTTCTTCAGGTACAGTTGGACCCAGCCAGCTTGAGTCACCCTTGTACAAGCTTCTTTTTTTGTCTTGTGAATGCACTTGACAATTAAAAAATAAAAATATGCATCTCTCTGCAGTTTCAGCTCATAGTTTTGAGATGTGTGTTGATTCTCTGATTTTGATTGTAATCACAAAGAATTTAAACAAGCTGCAGAAAGATTTTAAATCAAGACAAGTGAAATAATATGTCAGGGGAGCTAAACACTTGCTGAAATTGTAATGCTCATATGAAAAATAAAGGATTATTTTTACAGTGCAACTACTAAAGCCAAAATTAACCATAGAGACAAGCACCAGGAAAAGTTGGTTCTACTCAAAGCCCAGTCCTTTTCTCCTTTGTCCTGATGACAAAGCAAGACTTAGGTTATGTTCACAAATACGTTAATATAATGTCTTGACCACACTCTCTGAGATGAGATACGGTGAGGGAGATCATAAAAAGTGACCTCAGAATAGTAAATCCAAATTTTAATCAAGCAGGGAAATGAGATGCAAGACATATGAAATTTTCTGATATTACACATTTTTTAGTAACAGATTATTAGTTTTGTTTTGTTTTCATTCTGAAATTCCTGAAGTTTATCCCATTTTATAAAGTCTCTTTTATCCAAGCAAATAATTTGAAGCTATCCTTTTCTGTATCTAAATAATATTATTACACCATTCTTAGAAATTTGTTTCCTGATTACTGATTCTACTCTCTTGAACAATAAAATTTCTTCAATACCAAAACTATACAATGAATAAAGTTTACAAAGCTAGAATAAAAATCAAGTTTTTAAAAGAGTTAAAGCATTAAATATTTTATACTGTGAATGCAAATTTATGTTTAAAATACACATTTTAAATGAAATCAGTATTTTTATGGCCAACACTTGGCACTTTTGAAATTATAAGGTTTCTTTACATAAAAATGAGTACTTAACCTTAATTTTATTTTCAAGTTACTAAAAAAGTTTTATTAAAAAAAAGACATTTTCTCTTTCAGAAGTTCAGAAAGACAGTATCTGAGAAGTAACTTACTATTTTATACCATTATCTGACACGTCACTTCAGTCAAATTTTTACATCACAGATATTTCTACTGCTGTTAGAAAGTTCTAGAAACTAACAAAAATTCATGACCTTACACTTTTACACATATTTAAATGATTTCCATCTGAAGGTCATATCTGTGAATTATGGGAACATTTGTCAACAATCTATTTTAAAGTTTATATTTGTTGATTTCTACCTTGTTGAACTTGGAAAAATATTCCCCAAACCTTCACTTTATGTACATGACCTCATTTACTCTTCACATCAAACCCATGAGGTAGATAAAATCTTCCCTACCCTGCAAATAAGGAAAGCAAGGCCTTGAAGGTTAAGTAACTTGTCCAAATGTATATGACCAATAAATTATGTCAGTGCTAGCTATAAATGTAAGTTTGTCAGACTCCACTGGGAGGTCTCTGAAGTGCTGGAACCCAGTTGCTGTGTATAGTGAGCCAGTAAATGCTTATTGTCAGAGAGTCTAACACCCACTAGAGTAAAGCAACATGAATGTATTTCCAGTCACATTCAGGAACTAGAAACATCTAATATGTCTTAAATGCACAGTGACCTAAATAAAATGAAATGTATCTAAGTGAAAAATTCTTTAAAAATTGATAATTTGTTTATCCCATAATTGCTCTGATAAATCTTTACTTTGTTCTGTAATTCTTACATTTTCTTAAAAAAAATAGATTCTGTGGAGTCAAAGTAATACATGTACAGTAATATATTACTCAAGAAACGAAAAGGCGCCATTCCAGTTATACAAGAGAGAATAAAAACATCAAGAGTCACGTCAATCAAAAGGCCCTGTTGACTGTCGCGCCCATTCTATGGATGGATCCCATTGTCTCCAGGAGAATTGGATGTCAGCATCGTTTAGGGTTAACAATGGACCTGTAACATACACACAAATAAATACTAACTTGGTTTCACACTCATTTTCAAAATCATGCTATGCAGATTTTCCTTCCTCTTATGTTACAATTTGCCTTTTAGAAAATGCCTTCACTTTGTTACTCTCTTCTTCTGTTGTCTTAAGGGGCATCCGTTTTGAGGAGATACCTCAGAGAATGGCTGGATTTGGATTCATTTTGGAGTCTTCTGGTTAGAGGACATCTCTTCCCTCTTCCAGCGGGTCTCCACTGTCTCACAGCATTTCAGTCCCTATGCCTTCAGCCCTCATCATGCTAATGTGCTGTTCTTGCTTTTCCCGTTGTCAGAGGGGAATGTCCACTGTCAGAGGTGTACACTTGACAGGCTCTTCTCCTCCCTTTTATTCTGTCCCTTTTCTCCCTGTCATAGGCATGGTTTGTCATTCTCTATCCAGTGTTCCTTCCTCTTCTTAGTCTGATTCATTTCCCTTAAAGATGTTATCTTTACTGCCTACTTCAGCTTTTGCTAGTTCAGTTTCTCTTCGGGTTCACTCTCCTGAGGGTCCTCGCAGCTTCTGTTTACTTCTCACAGTGCAGTTGCCACCTGATTGACTTAAGTTGTCCCGCATCTTCTGCACGTGCAGGATCCATCTCACTCATTTCCAGCTGTGCTCCCCTTTTTTGTTTTTGTCCTACCACTTTCATAAATTCCCCCTCTCACTCTGTTTTGCCTTGTTGTTCTTCTAAGACCCTTTTACCTTCCTTACTGTCCCTTGCAGATGTTTATAGCATCTCTGTGACTTGTGCCCAGCATTCACTTGAGCCTTCCCTGTATTCTTTCCCATTTTTATCAGACCCTAATTTAGGGCAGGTTTTGCCTACTCTGTTTATACATACAGGGACAGAAATGACACCCTTTTCTCCCCATAGTGAGAGTGTACCTTGGTGCACTCTATCTGTACCATTTTATACTGTACTTTAGTAACTTTCATGAGCTTCACGACACATTTTAGGCTTCTGTTTATCTGTGGTAGCTCTGTTTAATTTAAAATCAGGAAATATAAACTGGCAAAGTATTTTTTTCCCTTGTAGAAATGTTTTTTATGTGAAAAGATAGGACAGTCATTTATTTAAGACTGGGCCTGTCCCTAAAAGCCCAAATGTTCCCTAGCCCTCCTGTGGCACCAGGAAGGCCCTTAGGAAATGGTTCACTTGCCCTTTCTTGCCAAAATGCTGTAGTCTTTACTTTTCTCAAGAGTGATCAATGGAATTAACCATCACCTTTTCCAGAGTGCCATCATTCTTAGGCTGCAGTTTGTTTTCTAAGGGCAATTGAGTGTTAAGACCTTTTTGTTTAGAGGAAGGACAACACATTTTTGTGTAAGTCCAGATGCTCATCACTAGTATATGAATAATTGCATTAAAAAATTTCAGGTTCAACTCTACTAGTTTATCACCCTCTAGTTTTCATGTACTTACTACATGGTTTCTAAAGAAGCAGTTTCTGTTTCGTCTGCATATTGGTTCTTGATTTTTATTACTGGTATAATTTACTTTATTTTGAAACTGCATCTACATCTAGATGCATAGTTAATTATCACTATCATAATTAATTCTCAACACACATGTTTTGGATTTATTTGAAAAAATAGTTAACCTTCTTGTAAAAGTAGAAAAACAGCCATAGAATTAAATGAAAGATTGCTATTTAATAAGAGAGTCTATATCCTTTCAGTCACTAACCCTGACACATAATCCATGACAATCTTTTTCCACTGAATGAAGAATTTTATAAACTGCCCTTAATTTCTGGAAGTTACCCAAGGTTTGAACTTACTTAGTATCTGTATTTGAGAAGTGTATTTCTTTCTTGCTTATATTAACTTGTCAGTGCTGTAGCAGGCCTTAAGCCTCTGCTGATGATGCTAAAAAAGTGTGAACACTATGTTCAAGTGGTAAACCAGAAGATAGGTAATTAATATTTTGGTCTTACTTGTGTGTGTGCATGTGTGTGTGTGGCATAGTGGGTTTTATCACCTGTGCTGGTGCCTGGGCATGCCACGATTTAGTAATGGCCAAAAGGCATTGCTTAAGTTCATTTAGCACATTCTGTGTACTTGCCTCCTAGTAAAAAGTTGAAGAAAGAAGAGACAAAGAAACAAATACACAGAAATGAAGTAAATTAAACCAAATGGCATTTCCTTCAGAGTTCAGAATTTTCAGATACTACGAAAGAAAGGATCCACTACTTCTTATGAAAATCTAAAAATGTCAGAAGCGAGGTACGGGTGGAAAAATTTTTAAATGTGGCCTTTTGAGCTTAATTGTTATAAACCATTGTGATAGTTGTTGATCAAAGTATTGGTACTTGTATTTATTAGTAATTGCATCAAAATGATTATTACCACTGTTGGAAAACCAATAAAGAAACAACCATAATTGCTAGTGAGCAAATGTGAGTAAAAAGTGTTTACATTGTCAGGATGTCTGTTAAGTAATCAATTAATATTATTATATCTTTAATGTGGTTATATGTATAATGTCATGCACAGACTATGAAATATCTGCTTTTGAAATTTAACTTTATTTAAAAGCTAAGCTGCTTCAGAATATTATGTATTCAAAATGGTCCCAGTAAGAAAGGCATTAAAAGGGAACAAATTTGTTTGTTTTGAGTGAATCATATATGTAACGTGATACACATAGAGTAAAAATGGCTTTTAGCTAGATAGGCAACAGTATTACAAGTTACTTTACATTTTAAAAGAGCATTTCATATTTAAGCAAGTAATTGATTTGTGGACTTAAATTGTTCAGTACTTATGTTAGTCTTAATATTTGTTTTAAGTTATTACATTGCATTATTTATTTAGTTCCAGAAAATGGTGTTATTACTATGTGACTATTTTAAAATGTGGTGTTACAATCATTTCTTTTTTTCTTGACTCTTCTCAGCTATGTGATTATAAGACTGTCAGCAAAATATTTAAGCCCACAAAGGTCAAAACTAATATAAAATTAGAAAACTTATTTACAAAGTTAGACAATTGATTCCATTAAAATAAGAAGTGAGAAAAACTGTGTTGGGCATTGAGGTGTAAATTTTGCCCAGATGTGTACCCGACGTGAAATATCTTCTAGTAAAAATATATTTGGCTCTTCTCCCTACACATGTTAGAGAAGCATGAAAATTGGTAAACATGCCCATCCTGCTGTGTAGAACCTAAAGGGAGGGTGTCAGGAGGGGGGACATTTTTCTAGTGGTGAGTGGCCAGGATGACTGCAGAAGCCCTCAGCAATCTGCATAGAGATCTGTTCTGATCACTCTGAGCCACTGTTGATTTAGAGGCAGACATCTGTTCTTCAGGTACAGTTGGACCCAGCCAGCTTGAGTCACCCTTGTACAAGCTTCTTTTTTTGTCTTGTGAATGCACTTGACAATTAAAAAATAAAAATATGCATCTCTCTGCAGTTTCAGCTCATAGTTTTGAGATGTGTGTTGATTCTCTGATTTTGATTGTAATCACAAAGAATTTAAACAAGCTGCAGAAAGATTTTAAATCAAGACAAGTGAAATAATATGTCAGGGGAGCTAAACACTTGCTGAAATTGTAATGCTCATATGAAAAATAAAGGATTATTTTTACAGTGCAACTACTAAAGCCAAAATTAACCATAGAGACAAGCACCAGGAAAAGTTGGTTCTACTCAAAGCCCAGTCCTTTTCTCCTTTGTCCTGATGACAAAGCAAGACTTAGGTTATGTTCACAAATACATTAATATAATGTCTTGACCACACTCTCTGAGATGAGATACGGTGAGGGAGATCATAAAAAGTGACCTCAGAATAGTAAATCCAAATTTTAATCAAGCAGGGAAATGAGATGCAAGACATATGAAATTTTCTGATATTACACATTTTTTAGTAACAGATTATTAGTTTTGTTTTGTTTTCATTCTGAAATTCCTGAAGTTTATCCCATTTTATAAAGTCTCTTTTATCCAAGCAAATAATTTGAAGCTATCCTTTTCTGTATCTAAATAATATTATTACACCATTCTTAGAAATTTGTTTCCTGATTACTGATTCTACTCTCTTGAACAATAAAATTTCTTCAATACCAAAACTATACAATGAATAAAGTTTACAAAGCTAGAATAAAAATCAAGTTTTTAAAAGAGTTAAAGCATTAAATATTTTATACTGTGAATGCAAATTTATGTTTAAAATACACATTTTAAATGAAATCAGTATTTTTATGGCCAACACTTGGCACTTTTGAAATTATAAGGTTTCTTTACATAAAAATGAGTACTTAACCTTAATTTTATTTTCAAGTTACTAAAAAAGTTTTATTAAAAAAAAGACATTTTCTCTTTCAGAAGTTCAGAAAGACAGTATCTGAGAAGTAACTTACTATTTTATACCATTATCTGACACGTCACTTCAGTCAAATTTTTACATCACAGATATTTCTACTGCTGTTAGAAAGTTCTAGAAACTAACAAAAATTCATGACCTTACACTTTTACACATATTTAAATGATTTCCATCTGAAGGTCATATCTGTGAATTATGGGAACATTTGTCAACAATCTATTTTAAAGTTTATATTTGTTGATTTCTACCTTGTTGAACTTGGAAAAATATTCCCCAAACCTTCACTTTATGTACATGACCTCATTTACTCTTCACATCAAACCCATGAGGTAGATAAAATCTTCCCTACCCTGCAAATAAGGAAAGCAAGGCCTTGAAGGTTAAGTAACTTGTCCAAATGTATATGACCAATAAATTATGTCAGTGCTAGCTATAAATGTAAGTTTGTCAGACTCCACTGGGAGGTCTCTGAAGTGCTGGAACCCAGTTGCTGTGTATAGTGAGCCAGTAAATGCTTATTGTCAGAGAGTCTAACACCCACTAGAGTAAAGCAACATGAATGTATTTCCAGTCACATTCAGGAACTAGAAACATCTAATATGTCTTAAATGCACAGTGACCTAAATAAAATGAAATGTATCTAAGTGAAAAATTCTTTAAAAATTGATAATTTGTTTATCCCATAATTGCTCTGATAAATCTTTACTTTGTTCTGTAATTCTTACATTTTCTTAAAAAAAATAGATTCTGTGGAGTCAAAGTAATACATGTACAGTAATATATTACTCAAGAAACGAAAAGGCGCCATTCCAGTTATACAAGAGAGAATAAAAACATCAAGAGTCACGTCAATCAAAAGGCCCTGTTGACTGTCGCGCCCAATCTATGGATGGATCCCATTGTCTCCAGGAGAATTGGATGTCAGCATCGTTTAGGGTTAACAATGGACCTACTAGGCAAGAGCAGACAGCTCCTCTCAGCAGACACCAGGAAAGCAAACTTCATAATGAGGCACTTCATTCATCATACCCTTCTGCTCTAATTAGTAAAGTGAATAGGAAACACTTTAAGTTAAGGCAGAAACTGGATAACATAAAAACATTTGTTTTGTAAACACAAAGAATGCTTTTTTCTAATGATCCTCATCACATCTATATCAAGCATATGTTCTGAGCACTGTTTTCTAAAGTTGCTCTTCCACACCTCAAATTCATTCTGATTATAGATGGGTTATTTTTATTGTCTCTAAAAGTAGGGAAGCTAATGCTGCTAAGAATCTGCCAGTCTAATTTCTAATCTCAATCTCAAAAAAGAAGGGGTCATAAATACATATTTAAAACCATGCGTAATTCATGTTCCACCTCTATTACACCAGAGTGGATGCACCAGCTATATATATATTGGTGTAATTTCTAAAAGTACTGAAAAATCTAATTTTTACTTATTCTAGTTCATTTTTTCTTAAATCATCACTTGATCCTTGTCAAGAATTATGGAAGAATATGGTAGAGGAAAATGTAGAAATGATTGGTTTATACAGTGTTTATGTAAGTACACTTAAATACTGCCAGTCGTTTCAGATTGCTTGGAATGGAAATGATTTGTTTAATGAAAGTAAGGAAAAAATAGAGTCCAAAAGAAGGAAAAAGCAAGAAGGCCGGGAGAACAGGCTGTTGCCGGAGTGAATGAGAACCACCGAAGCCTGCGGAAAGCAGTCATGAGACCAAAGGCAGGTTCTCCGTAGAAAAGCGTGGCTGCTTCAGTTTGGTTTTTCAGTGTTTTTAACTGAGAATCAGTTGTTAATTTTTTTCTATTAAATTTGTTCACAGGGCCATTTTATATAAACACTCCACCTGATTTTGTCTGAGCTATGGTTCTTCAATTTAAAATGGAAGATTGGTTAAGCATGGTAATGTTTTTAAACATCCCTGCTTGTTACACAGAAGTTAATGTTCAGAAATGTCTGCAGATGCTACTTTTAGCAACTAAATATTTCCATAGTGGTAAAGAAATGTCAGTAAAATCTATGCACTTTAAGAACATCAAATTCTTATTATACTTATCATGTGTGCAGGCAGAGTACATAATAAACTAGTCTATAGCAGCTGTAAATTTCTGAGGATTTATCTAACCACAAATACATTGAAATGGGGAAATGGGGCTATATTAAACTATGCAAGAGGCTGCTGGAGCTTTGCCATTTCTGCAACATCCTGTAATTAATTTATCATGACAGGTCTGGCAAACTGAAACATCCAATACACTTGCGACAGACTGTTAAACTCTCACTGTTGGAGATCCTGCAGTCACATACAGTGAAGGTAAATTTTTCTTTCAAACATGAATACAGTACTATTATATTTGAAGTATCCTATGGCCAAGGACAGACTTTTGAATTTCAGAATAAGAATATCTAGATATAAAAAAGATCCTGGGCTGAGATAATGAATTTAGTCTGTTCTCTCTGCACCTTGTGGTCTTTTCCTGAAGAGGGATGGCCCTGGGTAGGGAAATGACAAAGTCAGATCAACCCTTCCCATGCAAGTGCCTGGCGCTAGGTAGGGTGGGATCCTCTTCTGGGAGACTGAAGGTCAGTTCTCTCTCGGTAGTCTCTTGAACATGTCCTCTTCTGTAACAAGACACAAGACCAGCCCCTCCATCTGTGTGTCATCCTCTTCTGGAAGACACAGTGCTGCCATTTTGCAGACACAGAGCACAGATAAATACAGAAATTATCCTGCTCCAACCCCTCCATTCCAGAGAAAGAAAAAAAGTGACTTTTTTTGCCCAAATAGATTTTCTTGTTTAATGGTAAGCTCTCTGTCAGTTCATGAGTTCGAAAGAATGACCTCGTCACTTGATGCGTGTGATTTGATAACATGTGAACAGCAGTTGCTGCTGAGAATGGGTCTCAGTAAACAAGGCTCCTCCTGGCTGGGGGAGTGGAGATGCCGCCCTTAAAAGTGAAATCGACCTTGTATCAGAGTCCACAGCCTTGCCCATTTCCTTTGGAAGTTCGGAGCTCCTTAGACTACAAATGAGTATCCAAGAGGTCTGGCAACCTTGAATCTGGGGGTTTCGGTAAGAGGGGAAGGCCCCACGTGGTGGAGAGTCAGGTGGGTCCCACTCAGTGGAACAGGAAGAAGCCAGGCAAGAAGGCAGCGGTTCCCCAAGTCCCCAAAGGCTAACTGAAAACTTGCTGCTCTTTATAGTTCTCCCATTATTGTCTTTCTCTTTATTCTTACTATTGAAAATGGATCCTATCTCAGAGAACTTGAAGAGTATGTTGCTTGGGCCTAAGTTGAAAAAAAAAACACAAGAGAACCTTAAACTGAATAACACAAGCAAAAGTGAACAAGAGCAAAAGCTTTCATAGCTTTCCACTCCCCTCCCTTCAAACTTCCACATAAACTTTAGAAAAGAGATGGAGAGAGAGAGGGTGTGTGTGTGTGTGTGTGTCCCACAAGTGAAAATGAAAACCCATCTTGCACATGGCCCAGTTCAGGACTGCAGAAACCAGGGCCCGGACCCTACCTCCTACTACTGATTCTCCTACTTACTGCTGTTTGTTAGGTAACATTCTTACTTCACTGAAAGGTGCATTATTAAATCCTAATTCAAAAAAAGTCCTAAATCTTCCCAACCTCATACGCGACTTAAAGTAAATATCTCATATATTGCAGTCTACATTCAGATAAATTCCCCTTTAAAACTAGGTTACTAAGTGATTAATTTGAATGAGTGAGGGTTGGAAGTAGGTAAAAATCCAACAGATGATATCAGAGTCAGAAGAACTGACAGTTCTAGGAATGCATGGGGGAGAGATTGGGTTTTTTATTGGTTTGGTCTTACTATGTTGACAATGGGCTACAGATAAGGGTCATTTCTGCTCACATATCAATATCTGAAGTTACTGACTTTTCCTCAATATTTGTGATTCAGGTTTATTAATAGTTGTAACACTTGATGTGTTTTAAGTGTTTGTGTGCATGTGTGTTCACGTATGTGTGCTAAAAGCTAACCAGTGTTGGACGAGAGTTGGATTAATGGTTGAATGAGGAGCCTCAACCATCTACTGTTTGTTTCACTTTGAAATTGTCGCATGTTTATGTCGCATGTCACCCTACAGTGATTTTCAGAGGATACCACATACATTACCAAATTTGAGCTTCATTAACAACCTTTGTTAGAAAAGGCATTATTCCCCCATTCTTCAAACCAGTCACAGAGGTTGGAAGACTGGCTCAACAACTATTGATCAGAGTCCAGCTGTCCTCCCAGTGCTGTGTTCTTTCCAACAGGAAAACTCTTTACTGACATCTAAAATATGTGGAAATAAATTATACAGAAAGCCAGTATGTTTCCTGTACCAGAGACAACTATGAATTAGTAAGACAAAGTGTGTGTTTTTGAGTTGTGTTTTTGCCACCTCCTATATTTAAATATTTTTTTAACGCAGGAACTTAAAAAGTGAAGTTATAACAGAGTCCAAGTAAGAGCATGTAAAAAAAATTTATTTGTTTTGTAGACAGAGGAGGATGGAAGTATAGAGAAAATGCCAAAGTACCTTAACCAAAACCATTCCATAAGCTGAGTAGAACAAAACCATTTCATGCGTTTTTTATTCAGGCCAAATGGTTATTTTTCAAGTTACCAAATAAATTACATTTTCTTTTAAAGGGCAGTAATTTCCCATCTGACCTAAAACTTCATTAGATCAACTCAGAGATATCACAGACTGTTTCATAAAATGCAAAGTGTCTGTGTCACACCACACTTAAAACTCTTCATTGGGCACCCACTTCCACTATCACTAAATCAACTGAACTTAATCCTGTCCTTTAAGAAGAATTCCTATAAATCAAGTCCTGTGCTCTCTGACATCACGGGAAGCTGTCAAATTCAGCCACCTGGGAAGTAACAGCAAAGTAGGAAAGTTGGTTGATACCTGAAAGTCAAGCACCGGAGCACATCCAAGACCTCCATATCTGTCCCCTGCTGCTTGTCCCATTTCATGACTTCACGTGGAGGCCCTCTGTTCACAATGCAGCGAGACCAAACCACTTCCCTTCAAGGACACTTGCTACTCCAGCCTTTGAGTTACTCTCGCAACTTGAAAAACACATGTGTTTCCAGTGCCTTTGCTAAATTTTGCCATTCAAGTTTCATCTCAAATGTCATATGCCCTGAGATTCCTTTCCTAATTACTAACAGTAGGTTAATGACCTCTTGTGTTCTCTTCGTGTCCTAAATATCCATCAAGACACTTAGCACATGACATGGAAACTGACAATCTATCCATGCATTATTTAATAATACACAATCTATTGATCGACATATTAGCATTTCTTGTGTGACTGAGAATTCTTACCAATCTGTTCTTACGCTCAACATCACAGGATGTTCTCAAGTGGAACTTCTTAAAAATTCTAAATTCCCAGCAAGACTAAAGAACTTACGGAAGGAATCTAGCAAAATGTCATTAACCACTCTACCAAACCTCTCCCTGGTCACAGCTATTTGTTGTCATTTTCATTCTCTCTTCATTTTTTCACACTCTCCTCTTTCCTTCTTTTTTTTTCTGACTTCTTTTTTTTCTGCTGTCTGACATCAGCTACTGGCATTCACTGGATTTAACAATTAATCCATTACTGATCACCATCTGGGTCTGCTCCCAAAGGGAAGCCAAGCTGGGGAGGCCCCATCAGGCAGTGGCTTCACATACTTCCACTCAAGCCCCCAGTACATTCTGAGCAACCCCTTATTTACATAAAAACAGGCTTAAAATGGGGACAGAGCCTTCCTTTTATGTCTATGTCTTTCACTTTTGGGTATTGAGGCAAATTATCCAGAAGATTAAATCTGATTTGCATAATATTTTGCATTCCCATTCATCTTAGGGTAAAATAGTTCAAAAGCCTTCTTAAATTTGTATACCTGAACACTGTTGCCTGTGAATCTGATATCTTGACCATCATTTTTTTTTAATTTCAACAGTTTCTGAGAAAAATGATACCTAGATTCATACATGAAAGTTCCCAAGTGTCACTGTTGCTGAGTCTGAGCAACTAATTTTAAGGATTCACAGCTGCACATTATGTATTTTCATCCCAGTAAGTGAACCCAGTCATTTTCATTGCCCATATTTTTATCATCTACAAAACAAAAACTACCTAAAACCTACAAACAACTCTTTGTTCAACAAGCAAGCCCTATATCCAGCCCAGCAGTGTTTGTACAAGTTCCAGCAGCCCCTGGAGCCACTGCAGCCCCAGAGGCAGAGGTGCAGGAATCACCGCACAGACCTGGCTGACTGGCTGCAGTAAGGTGATGGGCTGGACATCTTTTGGCACAGGTTCAACAAACAGGTCTGCTTATGGTCATGACACTTTGCACTCAGATTTCTAGGCTCCTGATGTTAGAGATGCTGTTTGAACACCTTTAACTTTTACTCTTGACGTGCTTTCAACTTCTGATCTTTTTAATTCACCTTAGGATTAGTGACACTGCTCATGAGTATGAACGATAGTCTGGTCAGCTTCTTGAGAATGGAGGCCATTGTGGGTAACCTCGCTGTGACTCTCACTGTCTACACAGCCAGGGACATGTGATTTTGACATTTATCCTGTTAAGTAAATCACTCTTTGGCACTATCAGATCATTCCACTTCAAAATTTGTTTCACCACTGGAGTAGGCCATAGCCTACAGAATAATTGTCATTCTTCTAATTCACTTTGCCCTATGTACCATCACAATTTAGAAGGGAAGGAAAAAGTATTATTATAATTATTCATGATAATTGACTAATTCTAATGATAACTACCATTTGCTGAGCCCAGGCTAAGTACTGGGCTCCTTGTCAGAGGCTTTATATTCATTATCTCACTCGATTTTAAAAATAAACTTAGAAGGTAGATATCATTATTATTACTTCCAGTTAAACACAAAACAAAAACCCTGAAACTCAGAAAGGAGAAGCTATTTGTTTGAGATCACACAGCTTGTAAATTGGGGTGTTAGGATTAGATCTCTGGTTTGACTCCAGAATTGCCCTCTTAATTATTAGCTTACTGCCCTTGACTTGCCAAAGTACATACTGTATTTTCTTTTAAAATGCCTCCTTTTAAAATGTTTTTTTCCACCCACAATTGAGGAAGTGACTTTATACTATTTAGAAAATGAGTAAGAAAGTTAAACATTTAATACTTTCCAATTTTTTAATGCTTTTTGCAGTACAATCTCAACAGAATAGATTGATCAAAAATGAATCTCAAAGTTGAATATTGCCCTAGAAATATTCACACATCAACCTTGAGTGTT